CAAGTGTTGCCAGTTAAAATTTGCCTTTGGGTTTAGAAAGACTTACCTCCACACCGGTCTGTGGCAGCCCTAAGCTGTGTAATGATGGGAAAATTACTTCCTCTCTGAGCTTGTGTTTTTTTTTTAACCTTCTAACAGAAGTGGCATATCTTAAAATTGTGATCAATGATTATTAACAGGAAAGAAAAATAAAGACTCTTACAGGAGGCATCTAGCAGAGGTCCCTATCACTCCAAGAAATGGTACTATTTTTCAGTTACTATCTTGTCTGCTTTTGGGTGGTTTGAAGGAAACAGGGGCCAGTTACAATTTGCAGAATGTTTTCTGTTTATTCTTTGTCCAAAGTGCATGTCAAGGACCAAATTATTTGAGTCATTACCACTGCTTCCTAGGTTCTGCATTGGCAGGAAACTGGAATCTAGGGCAAAGATGGAAGTTGAGACCAAGTACTCAGGTATTGGGACATGGGCAACCAACCAACAATTAACCTCTAGGCCAAATGTCTACCTCTGATTCCTAAATCTGTAGTTACCCTGTATCTTTATTTTGGCTCCTTTTTCTTCTCCTCCTCCTCCTCTACCTCCTTTCTGTGGAGATAGGCACACTATTTCTGCATTTGCAAAATTACTTTCTTTGTTGATATCTAAATGTAACATTATTCAAAATGTATGACTTAATAATATATTATTTTCTTACAGGATTATCTTTATTTATTTGGATGAGGAGAGGTAGAGACAGAGAGAGAGAGCCTTCCATACCGTGGGTTCACTCCCCAAATGGCTACAACAGCCAGAGCTGGGCTGATGCACAATCAGGAGCTAGGAGCCTCTTCTGGGTCTCCCATGTGGGTGCAAGGGGCTCAAAGGCTTGGGCCATCTTCTGCTTTCCCAGACCATAGCAGAGGAGCTGGATTGGAAGTGGAGCTAGAACTGGTGCCCATATGGGATGCTGGCACTTCAGGGTAGGGCCTTAACCTGCTGTGCCACAGCACCATCCTGAATAATATTATTTTAAAAGGGTTATTTATTTATTGAACGGCAAAGCTACAGGAGAGAGGGACAGATAGACATTTTCTTTATTTTTTTAAGAAATGTTTGCATCCCTCATCAGGGCACTATTCTTTCTTTTTGATTTATTTGACAGTTACAGAGAAGCAGAGAGGGAGAGGGGAAGGGTGGAGAAAGGTCTTCTGGCTAGCTGGTTCACCTCTCAATGGCCTCAATGGTCAGAGCTGGGCATATCTGAAGCCAGGAGCAAGATGTTCTTCTGGTTCTTACCCACGGTGCAGGGGTAGAAGTACCTGGGCCATTTTTTTACTGCTTTCCCAGGCCACAGCAGAAAGCCGGATTGGAAGTGGGGTAGCCAGGGTACAAACTGGCACCTTGGCACTTGCACTGCAGGTGGTGGCTTTACCCACTACCCCACAGCACTGGACCCCAGAGAGACATTTTATACCCTCTGGTTTATACCCCAAATGGTCACAAGAGCTCGAGCTGGGCCACTCTGAAGCCAGGAGCCTGTAACTGCATCCTGATCTTTACCATAGGTACAAGGTCCCAAGGACTTGGCTCATCTGCTGCTCTCCCAGGCATTAGCAGGAGCAGCTGGACTTGAACTGATGCTTGTATGGGATGCCAGCCCTGCAGGTGGTAGCTTTACTGAAATGCCATATGTTGTCCAGGAATAGTTTGTTCTGCACTCTCATGTCTTAGTGGATTTAGTGAGCTTTCTGGACTCCGTTGATCAGTTCCTGTCTGTGACCCTTCAGGGGGTTATGATGATGTCAGTTGAGACTACTGGTTTGGGCTCACTCAGAAGACTGGTAGTTGACACTGTCTGTTAATGGGACACTAAGATTATAATGTGTTCTGCTTTCTTGTATTTGTTTTATTTTTCTTTTTGCAGATCTTGGAATCACTTATTTTTTAATTTTATTTAAGTTATACAAGTTTCATGTATTTCATATATACAGATTTAGGAACACAGTGATACTTGCTACCCTATCCTCCCTCCCACCCATGCTCTAACCCTTCTTCCTATTCCATTCCCACTCTTAATTTTTTAGCTTTTATTTAATTAATACAAATTTCATAGGTACAGCTTTAGGAATATAGTGGTTCTTCCCCCCCAGAGCCACCCTCCCACCCCAACTCCCGTCCCACCTCATACTCCTCCCATCCCATTCTTCATTAGGATTCATTTTTAATTATTTTATATAGAATACCAAGTCTATACTAAGTAAAGATTTCAACAGTTGTGCACCCATGACAGACACAAAGCACCTACACAGACACAAAACGTATAAAGTACTGTTTGAAGACAATTTGCAGCAGTGGGGTGGCTGGGATCATAGGGTAGGTCTATAGAGGTATCTCCATACTGTCTTCCACAGTGGCTGCCCCTGTTTACATTCCCACCAACAGTGGACCAGAGTACCTTTTTTCATCGCATGCTCGCCAGCCTCTGTTATTTGTTGATTTCTGGTGTGAGTGCCATACTATGTGGAGTGACATGAAACCTCATTGTGGTTTTGATTTTCATTTCCCTATGATTAGTGATCCTAAGTATTTTTTCAAGTGTTTGTTGGCCATTTTATTATTATTATTTAAAAGGCAGAGTGACAGAGAAAGAGGGGGAGACAAAGAGACATAGTGGGAAAAGAGATCTTTCTCTGGTTCACTAACAGAATGGCTGTAATCCCTGATGGAGTCAGGAGCCTGGAACTCCATCCAAGTTTATAATGTGAGTGGTAGCACTTAAGTATTTGGACCATGTTCAGCTCATTTCCCAGGTGCACCTTACTGGTCAAGAATACATTATGGGGCCAACTAGAGTTCAGAAGATATTGGGGGCAGGCGCTGTGATGTAGCAGGTATAGCTGCCACCTGGAGTACCAGCATCCCATATGGGCACAGGTTTGAGTCCTGGCTGCTCCACTTCTGATCCAGCCCTCTGCTATGGTCTGGGAAGGCAGCAGAAGATGGCCAAAGTGCTTGAGCCTCTGCCCCAGCGTGGGGAACCTGGAGGAAGCTCCTGGTTCTTAGGCTTCGGATCAGCGCAACTCCTGCCATTGCAGCCATCTGGGGAGTGAACCAGTGGATAGGGGAACCCCCCCTTCACTCTTTCTCTGCCTTTCAAAAAAATAAAGACTTTTACAAATGATATTACAGAATGCTGGGTGAATGTGCAGAGGGTGTAACATCTTTTATATTGGGTGCAACGTTGTTTTTCCAGTTTTGGAATTGTTGCCAAGAAGAAGTAAAATATGCCAAATACATGATTTCCTGGTGTGTATTACCCCTAGGGTAGACATATGCTGTCAGTGTAGCCAAACACAGACAGCTGCCCTCAGCTGGAAAGAAGCTGCTAAGTTGTCATTTCTGGCAGTGACTTCAGCAGTTGTAAGGTCACTGAGCTTTCACAGGCAGCAGTGCCTGCACTGGTAGGATAGTGACACCAAAAGCCTGCATCAGTGACAGTGGGAGCCTTCGGTAAGCAAATCAGAAAGATCAAGATCTGGGGACAAGTTGTAGTTTAGAATCTCAGCCACACAGAGGACTCTCTTTGTGTCTTGCTCCTGGTTGTGGTTCACTATCTTCTTCAGGGGTTCTTTTGTATGCTGCCCTATGATCCTTCAATGCACTTTTCAAAAATTTCTTGAATCAAGGTTTAATTCTCATTTTTTATGTCTTAGAATTCTAATTCACACAAAATAAATTATTTTAATGTTGTTTTTTATGAGGCAATAAATCTTGGTCTAATGCTAAACTATATACCATGATCATATCAGGAAATCTGTAGTCAGAAACAAATAATTGCATCATTCTAACATTTTGGATATTGGTATTATTATATTATTCTCAAACATTTGATATTTCAGCTTTACTGCTGCTTTTGTTGAGGCTTTTGAAAATAAATACCACATTCCATAAATGTTTATTGTAGTATACGCATGGCTTAGCCCTTAGAGTGCTTGTATTCCACTACAGAAATAAATTTGAAAAACAAAGATAGATATGCAATATATGTATATAACTTAATTTCAACCTTTTCTCATTTTGCCTTCAAAATCTTTTTTTGGTTAAAATATTTTGAAAGAAGTCAGAAAATATTCTAGGGAGTGCATCTGCTGAGTAAGGCTTTCAAAAGGCTGAGTCATCTCACCTGAGCTGCCAGGAGTCAGAAAGCAGAATATTCATGATAGTGTGATTCCAGGAGCAAGAAGTGAAGGCAACTCCTCATAAACAGCATTACCAAAAGCAATGGGTTAAAATAAGTGAAGTAAAGGAATTGCTCCAGAAAAAACTAACCCATGAAATTTTCTCAGACTATCAAAGGTGTTAAAATAAGTATCATATAGCAGAGTACTGGTAGGAATGCCACATTGCAATGTTAACTCTTGTACAGATATTTAAAGGAAGATTACCAAAAACATGAAAAAAAAAATCTGAAAGCACAGCTAAATGAAAAACCAGAAGGGGGAAAAGCTGTTATCATATGATCCCCTAAAACAGACATCAGACCGGCAGTGAATCTTCATCGTGTTTGATATAATTGTAGAGCAGTGAATTTTCTCTCCTTATACTCTACTCTCTACATTGCTCATGTCCTCAGTTAATTGGCTTGATTCTCTGTACAGAATACTTTATATCAGAGGAATGTGTGTGTGTGTGTGTGTACAAGTGCATTCTGAAGAGGAAAGGAGACCATAAATAGTTGAGAACAAAGTACTATCTAAATCAAAATGCAAATGTCACTCCTGTCTCTCCCTTTGTATTTTCAGCAGCAGAGTTGTTTGCCAAAGAGTGACTATCAAGGCCTTGACTAATGTTCTAAGGAGGGCACAATGTTCCACTCCCAGAACAATGTAACCCAGTGGTTTTCAGCAAGGAAACTGCTAAATTTCCCAAAGGAATCCCTTACTGTTAGTAAGACCTCTGAAAATTAACTAGTGAGAATAAATGCCACGAAATCTAACATTAGTACTCTGAACTGAATTTGCTTATGCTGGACCTCTAAACAATAAATTGTGTTCTGCTGTGTTGCTATGCCCGTTCATGAGGCAAGCCATTTTAAAGTACAGCATCTTGGAGATTCCAAAAGAGCAGAATGGGGAAGGGGTGTACTGCTTTAGGCTAGGGGAAAACAGCAAAAAAAAAAAAAAAAAAAAGTGGATGAAGTATATTCTTAGGGGAGACTTGGACAGCAAACTACAGGAAGTGCTGAGGAAGGAAGAAGGACACCGTGGATCATGGTGGAAGGCCCACGTGGACGCAAAGCAGCAAGCACAGACACAGCACATGACCCCAGGAGCTGCATCAGCTTTGGAGAGTGAGTGAGATCAGAGTGCAGAAACCTGTGATACTGGTGATCTAGCTGGAGGGAGAGCCTGGTCGACTGCGCTGTCTGTGAATGCGGCCTGGAGTCCTGAGTGCGACAGGGTACCCACTTACCCAGTGGGACAAAGGGGCACATTTCCCTCTCCCCGTTTCCCCACAAACAGGTGGCTGAGAGAGGGCAGGTGGAATTATGGATGTAAGAAGCAGCTGAGCAGGTCTCGGGCATGTGCCCAGCAGCTGGCAGTTCAGCTGGAGGATGGTGGGGAGAAGGTGCCATTGTGAAACAAGGAGGGGCTGTGGCGAGTGACTCTTGGTGCACGTGTGGGATCCAGGGATATTGCCAGAGAGCAAAGTCCCTGTTCCCCACTGACCTTGAGTCTGGCTGGGAGGATTGATGGGGGCTGTGTGCCAGGTAAAACTGTGAGGTACTCCCAGGCACTCAACATATCAGAGGCTCAGGGGCTCAAAACCCAAGGTGGAGCAGCCACAGAGAGCTGGTTCTGGGAACATGGCTCTCTCTCTCCATGGATGGGTGGAGCAGATCTTCTGCACGCCATGGCTCAGAGAGGTTCCCCCAGGTATCCCAGTTGGATTCAGAGGCCCAAAGACATGGGCCATCTTCTCTGCTTTCCCACGTGGGAGATGTGAATGAAGCTCCTGGTTGCTGAGTTCAGTCTAGCCCAACCATGGCATCCAGGATTCTCCTGGTAAACTTCTCTTTGGGGGAGGGTGTGTGGCACAGTGATGACACCACCTGTTGGGATGCTCCCATCCCATAACAGAGGGCCTGAGTTCAAGTCCCAGCTCTCCTTCCAGTTCCAGTTTCCTGTAATACCCACCCTGGGAGACAACAGGTAGTGGCTCAAGTTGTTGGGTCCTTGCCACTCACATGGACCCAGGTTGAATGCCTGGGTCCTGGCTTCTGCCTGGCCCAGTCATGGATGTTGTGTATACTTGGAGGGCTAAACAAGCATGGACGTTCTCCCCATCTGGCCCTTTCTCTTTGGTGTGTCCCTGCCTTTCCAATCAATAAAAAAATTGGGGGCCAGTGTTGTAGCATAGTAGGTTCAGTCACCTTCTGTAATGCCAGCATCCCATATGGGCACTGGTTTGTATCCAGGCTGTTCCACTTCTGATCAGGATTCTCCCGAATATCCTGGGGAAAGCAGTGGCAGATGGAACAAGTGCTTGGGGCCCTGCCACCCTCACGGGAGACCGGGAAGTCTCCACTCCTGACTCCTGACTCCCGGCTTTGGCCTGGTCCCATAGTGGTTGATGCAACCACCTGGGGAGTAAACCAGTTGGATGGAAGATCTCTCTATGTCACAGTCTCTATATCTTGGGCTTTCAAATAAATACCTAATCATAAAAAATAAAAACATTTGTTTGGCACACTGGTCTTCCCCTGTCCCAAAGGGCGTCCAACCTCAGGCCAGCAGGACTGCCGCTTTCCTGCATTCTGTCCTGTGAAGTTTGCTCTTTTTACTGGCGAGGGACTTGAGCATGGGTTCCTTGCTCTCCCCTCAGCACCATGTCCAACAAACCAAACTGCTGGTTTTGACAGACACCTTTACCCACCCTGGTAGCACCACAAGCTCAGGGTGGGGAGGAAAGGGACACAGCTCCAGGCCAGCACACCACCTTCTCCCACTCTTCTTTCCTGGGCAGTCAGCAATTCTCCATCAATCAGTGCTGTCTGTTTTGTGGTTGATTGGTTTGGGGTTTTTTTGGTGGATTCCCAGAGGCCTTAAAAGTTGTTGGTTTTGTCTTGTTTCATAGCCGTCGGACACATTGCTGGGGAAAGCCAGACATGAGCGTCCTTCAGCACCGGACACAGCCTAGGATCCTGCTGGGCTCAGGACCTCCCCTCCCATCTCTAGTCCCACGAGGTGAGTCGGCCCTCTTCAGTGAAGCTCTCCACTCAAAACCAGGCCTCCCTCAGCTGCAAGGGGAGGTGCCAAAGATTTTATGTATGCCTGTGGGGGTCCCAACACTGTCTCAGGCAGTAGTACCCAGTGTGGTGTGCACGTGAACTAGCAGATGGAACACCACCTTTCATCCCTAGGGTGTGCAAACTCTTACACTCACTGACATTTCACAAGGGAGCCAACCTTTTTGGAGCTTCTGCTCAGCTAAGCTCCCACGTTGGAGCACTATTTCAAGTCTCAGCTGCTCCACTTCCCATCCGGTCTTCTGCTTGTGTGCCTAGGAATACAGCAGATCCAAGCCCAAGTACTTTGGCCCTACCACCCATTTAGGAGAGTAGTAGGAGTTCCCTGCTCCAGGCTCCATCCTGGCCCCTACCTGACTGTTGGGGTCCTGTGGGAAGTGAACCAGAGGAAGGAAGACCTCTCTGTCACCACCTCTTTTGCTCATTTCTGTTTCCAATGCATAAATCTTTGTGGAAAAATTACACACCACATGGTAGTTTTCAAGATCAATGTGGAACCTTTATTTATAAACACAGGCAATGAGTTGGATCTGGTTCCAGGGATTCAAACCCTTGCCATTCACAAGGGGAGGGAAGGCAGTGTTGGTTGAGGATACCCAACACTCTCCCCACGTACCCATGGTGCAGCATGAATGCTACAGAGAGCCCGCATTGCCCCCCCAGTCTCCTCTTCCACTGCTCTCCCCATTGTCCTGGATCCAGTGCCCATTCATGCCTGCCACCACCATCACCCCGTGTTCCCCTTCTCCCTCCCAATTCCACAAGAAGCCCATGTCAGCCTCCCTCAGCCCACCCTCGGCCACCCTCGCCCTCCCTCGGCCCACCCTCGCCCACCCTCGGACCACCACTCGGCCCACCCTCGCCCTCCCTCGGCCCACCCTCGCCCACCCTCGCCCTCCCTCAGCCCACCTCGCCCTCCCTTGCCCACCTCGCCCTTCCCTCGCCCTCCCTCGGACCACCTCGGCCCACCTCGGCCCTCCCTCGGCCACCCTCGCCCACCCTCGCCCTCCCTCGGCCACCCGCCCACCCTCGCCCTCCCTCGCCCACCCTCGCCCTCCCTCGCCCACCCTCGGCCCACCCTCGCCTCCCTCGCCACCCTCGCCCACCTCGCCCTCCCTCGGCCCACCTCGCCCTCCCTCGCCCTCCCTCGCCCACCCTCCCCCTCGCCCTCCCTCGCCCACCCTCGCCCACCCGCCCCTCCCTCGCCCTCCCTCGCCCACCCTCGCCCTCCCTCGGCCCACCCTCGCCCACCCTCGCCCTCCCTCGGCCCACCCTCGCCCACCCTCGCCTCCCTCGCCCTCCCTCGCCCACCCTCGGCCCTCCCTCGCCCACCCTCGCCCTCCCTCGGCCCACCCTCGCCCACCCTCGCCCACCCTCGCCCACCCTCGCCCTCCCTCGCCCACCCTCGCCCACTCGCCCTCCCTCGCCCTCCCTCGCCCACCCTCACCCACCTCCCCTCCCTCGGCCCCCCTCCCCACCCTCGCCCTCCCTCAGCCCACCCTGGCCCACCCCTGAACCACTCTGTTTGTCCCCATCCTCCATTACCCTGCCCGTGCCCATACCCCCATCCTGCCTTCTCCCTTGCCTCACCCATGTCACCACTCCCTTGCTCCCCAGTCCCTCTCCCCACAGACCTGCTCTCCCTGCTCTGTCCCTGCCCTCGGCGCCTGTCCCTGTGCCACTGTGCTGGCAGCAAGGCCTAATAACTGCCACGGAGGATGACATCACAGAAGTCTGGCCTGTGCCAACATTCTGTGCAGGTGAGGTCATTGCCCTCAGTGGGACTGTGAGCCACATGTGGAGCACACTGGCTCTTGTGCACTGGCCACTCTCTCCACATTGGGTCCACTTCCCAGCCCATCACGGGGTGGCAGGTGTAGACGGGCTCTTACAGGGCTCATGACCAATGGAACCTAGTTTTAAACTAACCCCAGAGCAGGGATGAGTAAGTGTACAGCATTGCTTCAAATCAGTCACAACAGAGCTGCCCCTTCTCTGCTCGCAGGTCTTCCTCAGGCTGGGTAAGAGGTCAGTGCTGTGGGCTTTACCCTCAATTGACAGTCACCAGAAAGCGATGACAAATTGAACATACCACAGTGGGACAAGGACACTGGCAGATGAACCTTGCCCAAATCTTTTATGTTATCTAAGATCTTAGCTAAGGACAGTATGATGTTTCAGTTGCCAAGGTATTCAAACTCTACTTCCCTATTTTCATACACATGAGTAGACCCATGATGCATTTAATTAGACCCATGATGCAGTGTGTGTAAACTGCTTGGGCAATCTTTGGGCCCAGCAGTGAGAGCACCAGGATGAGACCTGGGGTTTCCATCCAGGCTCCACTCTGGTTTCCAGCTTCATCCTGGGGCTCCAGCAACTTCAGACACCTAGGAGGAGCGTGCGCTCTCGCTCCCTCCTTCTTAAATAAATAAAGAAAAAATTCTTAGAAAATGAAATCTTCAAATTATAGAGTCTAGGCAGATTGAACATCAACGCTGGCCTCGGCTCCACACTGGCCCAGTGCCAAGGGAAGTGCCTAGAACAATTGGAGCAGTGGGCAGTGGAGCAAACTGCCCATGGACAGGCACCTACCCAAGAGTCACCGTGCCCGGCCACTAGAGTACCTCCAGCTGCCAGGCCACACCCCACCCACCCTCTTGGAACCATTTCTCCCCTCCCCACCCCAAAGGGTCCACCCAGGTCTCTGCCCCTCAGTGACTTTGGGTGAGGGGCTCATATACACGGACCCAGTGCCAAGAGGGACAGCAGGTTCTGCCACCCACACCCACCCGTTGAAACCTCCAGAGTCAGCAACTGGGACTGTGTTGTGGTGTGGGAAGTTGCCTTCCAGGATCTGGGCTGCTGGGGTCCCTGGTGCATCTGTCAGCGAGGCCAGGCCCTCCTGGGGAGCTTCCACAACCACAGTGGGGGGAAGGGGCACAGTTAGAGGGAGACAGAAGCCACAGAAGCTGACGCTGTGCCCCAACCCCTGTAGCCTCTGTATCCCTGCCCCACCTGCCCTGGCCTGGCTGGCCCCTGCAAAACCTGGTTTCTCCCCAGGAATGTTTGTTCCCGTTCTCTGCTGGGGGAGTTTTTTCATGGCGGGGCCTCATCCTCGACGAAGCTGTGGGACTCAGAGCCAGGCTCTGTGTGGCCCGACGATCCTGCTGACCCCGGCCTCCTGCAGACCATGGGCCGCCATACCCCTGGCCGCATTTCCAGCTTTTCAAGTGGGAAGAAACCACCCCGCGTCCCAGGACTTGCACTTCTGTGGGCCATCCTCAGCAAGGTCAGTGAAGTGTCTACAGCCGCCTGACCATTTCTATGAAGAACGCTGGTCGAAGCCTTGGCTGAGGGGGTCCAGGGGTGTGGAGTTGGGGGGTGAGAACCCTGCAGGGAGAGAGGTGGTCACTGGTGTCCAGGAGCCAGCTAAGGTAGCCATGGGCCTCCCTAACCTGTCCTCGCCCACAGTGTTTCACGGTTGGTTTGGCATTTGTGGCCTCAGATCACGGGCTCCTTCGCTGATAGGTATGTACCCCTGCAGCCATGTGGGCCCCACCCTTAGGAACCTGCTGGGCGCTAGAGGCTGGGAGCTGCCAGAGGACAGGCGATGGCCTCAGGAGCTGGTGGACACTGGGGGCAGCTGCTGAGCGTGGGTGCCCTGAAGTACGCTTAAGGAAGAGGAGCCCAGGTCCCTCCTATTCCTTATGGAGTTTTGAATGCGGCTTCTGGAACACTGTCCCCTCTGGAGCTCCTGAGTTTGTTTTACATGCAGCCAGTTGTAGCCTGGCTCTGAGCTCTGCAGTCACACATATGCAGCGCACACACAGTCCAGAAGTGAACTCTGAAGGGCTGTGCACGGATGCATACTTCAGCCCACAGGCCCTTCCTGCACATGCTTCAACTGGCATGGGGCTGGGGGGTGTGTGGGACAGACCCCCTCAGTGAGCCTGAGCAGCAGGCGGGTCGCTGGCCCTAGTGGAGAGGTGCTGAGGAGGGGGCAGTGGCTTGGGGGTCCATGGTCTCCACTCAGAAATGCACCCTGAGAAGGGACCCAGCAAAGCACAAAGGACACCAGCACCTGTCGTGGACACAGGTGACTGCAGATGTCCAAAAGGGCCCAGGTTAAGGGGCTGCCTCCCCCCGCCAATCTCCTTGTGATGCTCACCTTGGAGAGGACGCAGGGCCATGCTGGTACCGGCACTGGAGAACCCAGGACCCTAAGTCTCCACCCCACCCCATGGCTGCTTTCATCCTGGTGAGTGTCGGAGACCCTGAAGGGCCAGGCCGTGGTCCCAGGCAGAGGCCTGTCCTCAGTGCGCTGGCCCTGGCCTCTTGTTCCCTCTCTCTGGATGTGTTTGTGTCTTGCACTGGAGGAGAAGCAGCCATGCAGGTCCTGAGCAAGAGTCAGAGCTGGCCTGGTCAGGGAGTCTTCCTCCTGGCCCAGACCCACCTGGGACCAGGAACGTTCTCAGTGCCAAGGGGTTTCCACACGTCCTACAAAAACCCAATGTGAAACCCAGTCCTCGCAGCTGCCCCTTGGGCCCCAGGACTCCACGTTCTGAAGGCGGGAGGGGCAGAGCACATTGCTGCCCCCTGGACTCTGCTCAGAGCCCCAGCGTCAGGTTATGGCCCACCCTGGTGGCTCCTGGGTGCGGTTACTGCTTCTGTTTCCCTGTGGGACCCAGCAGGCAGGCCACCCCCTGCCTGGAGTAAGATCACCTGTGTGACTGTGACGGTGATGTTAGTGTGTGTGTGTGTATGTGTGTGTTCTGTGTGCATGTAGGTTCACATGTGTATGTGTACTTGTGCAAGTGTGTGGTGTGCACATAGTTAATGGCTTCATCCTGTCCCAGCTCTTGTTGCTGTAAGCCATTTGGGGAAGGAAACCAGCAGGTGGAAGATCTCTCTCTCTCTCTCTCTGCAAATCTGCATCTTACACTAAAAAAAATCTTAAAACCCTAAAACCCCACCATTTTCAGCACTGGGGACGCCTTCAGAGCTCTAGGAGCTCAGGCACTTGATGTTTGGTGGAATCAGGACAGCGAGGTGGCAGAGCTGGGCCTACAGCCAACACTGGCATGGCCTTCGGGGGCCAGCTTGAGTCCCAGCTGTTCCCAGCTCCTGTCTTGGGTGCTTGTGAGCCGGGAGAGAGGCTGTGGAGTGGTGCAGGTACTTGGGATTCCTGGCTGCCCCAGGTCTGTCCACGTCTGGACCTCCCCCTTGCCCCTCGTCAGCACCAGTAATGCTGTGTCCTGGTCCCTGGCATCTCTAGGGCCTCTCAGGTGATTCTGGGTCCTTAACATGGGGTCTGAAGCTGCTCTTACCGTTGGCTTCCACATGGCTGCTGTCTGTTGCTTTGTGGCCACCATGGCTCAGCCATGGCCACATTCCCTGAAGAGTGGTTTAGGGGTGGGGCTTTTGCATCCTCTGACCCCTGCCTTCCCAGGTGTGTTCACGGGCAGCCAGGACTAGAACAAGTGCCTATGATGATGCCACTCCACCCACCACAGCCAGCACTGATCCCTCACCTCACCTTCCCAACCTGTGTTCAGCTCAGGTGGACAGGAGAGGGGCAACAGTGTGGGCCTCTCTGGTCAGGTGGCCACTGACAGGAGGAGGTGTCGAGCCAGGCCTGCTTTGTGTCTAGCTCTAGTTTTCAGGGTGGCAGCTCCCACTGGTGGGCAACCTGACCAGCCACCTCCTAGTGGTCTCCAGGGATTGCCTGTTGGGGGATGTGGGAAGGGAGTTCTGGCCCCCATGGTGGCATCTGCCACTCACCCTGTCACTTGCAGCTCTGTGGGAGATGGGTTAGGGTGCCCCTCTTCTGAGCAGGACCCAGAAGGGAGCTGTAGAGATAGAGGTGCAGGCTGAGTGGTGGAGTTAGGCATGGCTGGCAGGTTTATAAATGAAGACCTGGGGTCCTCATGGACCTATATTGAGACCAGGCTCTCCCCTAGGCCCTGCTTTCCAGTGGGAGTCTGCAGCTCAGCCTGCCATACCATGCTACCCTCCCTGTCCCCCACCTGTCTTCCCCTCCCCTCTCCACCTGCCCTTCCACAGGTGCTTCAGGTGCCTCAGGCGCACCAGCCCCAAAGGCCAGTCTCTCAGGTTCCTCCAGCCCCCAGGGCGGTCGTCTTCCTACAGTTTTCCATAGCACCTGCACTAATTTACATATTTAACAGCAGTGTGTGAGTGTTCCCCTTTTCCCACTTCCACCTTATCATTGTGACTCTGTCCTTTGGAGCTTAACCATTTTGAAAGGGTTAGCTCATATCATTGTGGTTTGGATGGCATTTCCATGATGGCTTGTGATGTTGAGCATTTTTTTCATAGAATTGTTGGCCATTTGTATTTTTTTTTTTTTGACAGAGTGGACAGTGGAGAGAGAGAGAGAGGGAGAAAGGTTTTCCTTTGCCGTTGGTTCACCCTCAATGGCTGCTGTGGCTGGTGCACTGTGGTTGGGCAACACCGAGCTGATCCGATGCCAGGAGCCAAGTGCTTCTCCTGGTCTCCCATGCGGGTGCAGGGCCCAAGGACCTGGGCCATCCTCCACTGCACTCCCGGGCCAAAGCAGAGAGCTGGACTGGAAGAGGAGCAACTGCCACAGAATCTGGCACCCTGACCAGGACTAGAACCTGGTGTCTGGTGCCGCAGGTGGAGGATTAGCCTAGTGAGCCGCAGCACCAGCGGCCATTTGTATTTCTCTGGAGAACTCTGTTCAGCTCCTTGGCCATTTCATATCTGGATTCATTGTTTCATTTTATTTTTTTTTTAAGTTGCGGATGTATTCTGGACATTAATCCTTTTTCAGATAGGTAGGTAGCTCACAGATATTTTGCTCATTCTGTTGGAGGACTCTTTATTGATGATTTCCTGCTGTCCATAAGCTGTTGACTTTCATATAATCCCATTTGATTAGTTTTGATTTTGTTGCTTTGCCCTGAAGGTCTTTTCTAAGAGTCAATCTGTACTTAAGTGTCTTGTAGTACTTACTCTACATTTGTTTCCAAAAGCTTCAGAGTCCCTGGTCTTACATTTAAGTCCTTGATCCACTTTGAGTTGATTTTCTTTTCTGTGAGTAATGGATCTAATTTCAATCTCGTACATAAATGCAGTTTTGCCAACACCAGTTTTTGAGGAGATTTTCCTTAGAGCAGTCAATGGTCTGAGACCTTTTATCAAAAATCAGATGTCTCTACATATTGTATCGATTTTGGGACTTGCATTGTTTTTTCCATTAGTCAATGTGGTCACATTTTATGCCACTGCTGTGATGTTTTAATTAGTGTTGATTTGTAGTATGCTTTGAATCAGGTGTTGTGAGGCATCCAGGTACTTTTGTTTTGTTTTGTTTTTTTGGTAAGGAACCCCCGAGCTGTTCTGGATCTTCTGTGATTTGGTATGCATTTTAGGGCTTTTTTTTTTGTTTTTTCCACAAAGAATGTATTGATATTTGATAACATTTAATTGAATTTTTAGATTGCGTTAGGTAAGGTCGACATTTTTTTGACAGGCAGAGTGGACAGTGAGAGAGAGAGAGACAGAGAGAGAAAGGTCTTCCTTTTACCGTTGGTTCAACCCCCAATGGCCGCTGCGGCCGGCATGCTGTGACCGGTGCACCACGCTGATCCGAAGCCAGGAGCCAGGTGCTTTTTCTGGTCTCCATGCGGGTGCAGGGCCCAAGGACTTGGGCCATCCTCCACTGCACTCCCGGGCCACAGCAGAGAGCTGGACAGGAAGAGGAGCTACCGCCACAGAATCTGGCACTCCGACTGGGACTAGAACCCGGTGTGCCAGCTCCGCAGGCGGAGGATTAGCCTATTGAGCTGTGGTGCCGGCCAAGGTAGACATTTATGATACTCATTCTTCGAATCCATCAAAAGAAATATTCATTTCATTATTTCTGTTCTTGGTGATTTCTTTTATCAAGATATGGTAATTTTGATTATAGAGCTTTAAAACATCTTTAATGTATTAACACTGCTGTTTCTACAGTATGTTTATTTGTAACCTGTAACTTCACTTAATTGGTTCACCAGTCCTAGCAGTGTTTTGGGTTTATTGTGTTAGTATTTCTGTTACAATATCATGTCACCAACAGCCCTTAGAATTTGATGTTCAATTTTCACACCTATTTACTGATTCTTTCTTTCTTCTCCCTCATTGTTTTTGTGAAAATTTACAGTACTACATTAAGAAAGAGTGGTAAAAAGGGACATCCTTGTGTTGTTACATGTTTGACAAAAATGCTTTCAAATTTTCCCCATCCAGCATGACATTGGCTGTTGGCATGTCATACATAGCCGTTATGATTTCGATATGTATTCCCTCTGTATCTATTTTGTGTAGTTTTTTAATCCTTTTTTATTCTATTGATATCTCTGTATCTAATTAGATGATAATGTGGTTTTTCAAAGATTTATTTCATTGTTTGCAAGAATGATATAGATTGATAGAGGTAGAGCAAGAGCAAAAGAAAGGGAGGGAGGAAAAGAGGGAGAGGGGTCCTTCTATTTGCTAGTTTATTCCCTAAATGACCTCGATGGCCAGATTGCGCCAGTATGAAGTCAGGATCCAGAACCTTCTTCCAAGTCTCCCATGTGGCTGAAAGGGCCCACTATTGGGACATCCTCTGCCACTTTCCCAGGCACATTAGAAGGGAGCTAGATTGGAAGAGGAGCAGCCTGGATGCGAAGGATACATATTGAATGGAGGCATTGTGTGTTGTGGCCTTAACCCACTGCAATACAGTGTGGCCCGGACCAATCTGTTTTTTTTTTTGTTTTGTTTTTTTTTTTTTTTTTTTTTTTTTTTTTACAGGCAGAGGTGGACAGTGAGAGAGAGAGAGACAGAGGAGAAAAGGTCTTCCTTTTGCTGTTGGTTCACACCTCCAATGACCGCCACGGCCGGCGTGCTGTGGCCAGGCGCACCCACTGATCCTGATGGAGGAGCCAAAGGTGCTTCTCCTGGTCCTCCCAGGGGGTGCAGGGCCCAAGTACTTGGGCCATCCTCCCACTGCACTCCTGGGCCATAGCAGAGAGCTGGCCTGGAAGAGGGGCAACTGAGACAGAATCCGGCGCCCCGACCAGGACTAGAACCCGATGTGCCAGTGCCACAGGTGGAGGATTAGCCTAGTGAGCGCGTGCTGGCTGACAATGTGGTTTTGTTCTTCAATTATTTTGATATAATTTATCATGTGTATTAATTTGAAAATGTGGAACATCATGGCATTTTTGGGATGAATTCCAATTGAAGGTTATACATGAGCTTTTGCGTGTGATTTTGGTTTTGTTTGGCTAGAATTTTGTTGAGAATGTTTACATCTTTTTCATTTAGGATCTAGGCCAGCAGTTTTGTTTACATTCAGTGTTTAGCTATCTTTTGTGGTCAGAGTAATTCTGGCCTCACAAAAAGTGTTTGTTAGAGTTGAATCCTATTCCATCCAGCTCAATATTTGAAATAGCTGGGAAAGTATTGGAGTTGCTTTTTAAATCTTCAAGCTCCTTGGTTACCTTTACTCAAAGGTATTTAAATTTTAGTAGCTATTGTGAATGGAATGGATTTTTGAAGTAGACTCTCAGCCATGACATTGTGTGTATACAAATTCTGTTGATTTTTGTGTGTTGATTTTATATCCTGCCACTTTTCCAAACTCTGAGTTCTAATAATCTCGTAGTGGAGTTTCTTGGTTCCCCCATTTAAAAATCATGTCATTCTGAAGGAGGGATACTTTGACTTCCTCCTTCCCAATTTGTGTCCATTTGATTTCTTTTTCTTGCCTAATGGCTCTGTCTAAAACTTCCAGAACTATCTTGAATAGCAATAATGAGGTGCATCCTTGTCTGATTCCAGATCGTAGTTGGGAATGCTTGCAACTTTCCCCATTCATAAGATGCTATCAGTCGGTTTGACATAAATTGCCTTGATTGTGTTGAGAATGTTCTTCTACAGTCAGTTTGCCTAAGGTTTTCTTTCTGAAAGATGTTGCATTTTTCCAGCTGTTTTCATCTATTTGAAATAATCATATGTTTTTAATATTTATTTAAATGAAAGGCAGACTTATTGAGTGACCAATTCATTGGCAAACAGTACATTGTAGTAATTCCCGATTTTTTTTTTTAATTGGGTTTCTGTTATTACAGTTTGTTTTTTGTTTATGATTTTACTCATTGGGGTCTTATTCCTGTTTTTTTGTTTGTTTGTTTGTTTTGGAGATTTTCAGCAAGTTTGTAAAAAAATTTTTTTAATCAGATTTCATTTCAGTGATCTTTTGTAATGTTTTTGCTTCAACTTTGTTTATTTCTTCTCAAATTTCCATGATTTCTGTCATCCTACTAATTTGGAGTTTGATATGTTGGTTTTCCAGGTTTTGTGATGCATTGAAAAGCTCATTTATTTGATGCCTTTCCAATATCTTGTGGTAGGCACAAGTTGTTATAAAGTGTCCTCTTAACATTGTATTTGCTGTGTCCCATACGTTTTGCTGTGTTGTGCTGTTGTTATCTTCAATCATTTCCAGAAATTTCTTGATTTCCATTTTGATTTCTCCTACGACCCACCATTCATTCAGGAGCATGTCGTTCGGTCTCCATGTGTTTGCATATGTTCTGGAGTTTCTTGAGTTGATTTCCCATTTCCTTGAATTTTGGTCATAGAAGATGGGTGAAATGATTTCAGTTACTGAGTTTACTAAGCTTGTTTTATGGCCTATCATATGTTGTGTCCTAGAAAAGTTCCAGGGGATGAGAAGAATGTGTATTCTGCAAGTGTGGGATGAAAAGTTCTGAGTTAGGACTTCCAGCAAGGCAGTCTGTTCCCAGGGACACAGTGATGAGCGACTGAGTCACCTACAATTGTGACATAAGGGGAGGGGCGAGGAAATGACCAAGAAGACAGTGCAGGTGTTCTCATAAGATATGTTTTGTATTTAAGAGATCCAAATTCCATGCATTTCATAAATGCAATTTAGGTACACAGTGATTGTCCCCACCCTACCTCTCTGTCCGGAGCGCAACACATCGTACACTTGGTTGTCTGACTCCTGGCAGCAGCCCCGGGACAGACAAGGGCAAGGATGCTGGGCGTGTATCTGCCATTCAGTACCCTGACCACGGGCAGTTTGGCAAAGCGCTGCACCATGCAGGAGTGGCTGGGTGTCAGCCTGGAGGTCTAGAGAGCTCCACACTGCCCTGAGCTTCTGATGGGCTGGTTTGGGAGCAATGATGCCCTTGGAGGGCATTTGGTCATGGTGAGCACAGGGTGGGCATGTCAGGCTGGGGCTCAGGTCGCTGCCCCTGGTTAATCAAGGCAGTGCGGCCTCTTTACTGACTGCTGTGTTTCTGGGAGGAAGGGGCGGGTGTTAGTTGGATGGCGCTTGCGCAGTAGGCCTGGGGAAGAAGTAGATGTCTGTGGGAGTGGCGTCGTGGTAGGCTGGCGGTGTTATTGGCGGCAGTGGCACGGGAGGCTTGGAGAGTGCGGAAGGATTTGCTGCTTTTGAGCTTATGGACAGTGAAATGCTCAGGGCCTGCCTCAAAGGATGCGGGATTCGGGCTTCCCAGCGGTGTTCTCCCCCAAATCCACAGGTTTGGAGGCAGTGGGGGTGGGTGGGAGCTCAACTGTGAGGAAGCCGAGACGCTGGTGTCAGCCTCCCTTCCCCCACGGAGCACACGGATGTGAACCTGTACCCATAGTGGACTAGTGTTCTCTAGTAATTTGATGATACTCAGTTTTAGATTTTGTTCCTTGAAGTGTTTTTGTTGCTTTTTGTATAAGGTGTAAGGTATCGGGCTTCTTTCAGCGTTCTGCATGTGGAGGTCCAGTTTTCTCAGGACCATTTTTGAAGAAACTGTCCTTTGCACCTGGGATTGATCTTTAGCTCAGATCAGAGCTAGTTGTAGACAGAGTAGTTGTAGATGTGTGCGTTATTTCAGGTGTTTCTTTTCTGTTCCATTTTTCCATATGTCATTTTTTTTTTGCCTATACCAAGCTGTTTTGATCGTAACTGCCCTGTTCTGTGTCTTACAATCTGTTATTGTGACACTTTGAGTTTTGTCAATGTTGTATAAGGTTGCTTTCAGTATTCAGATGTTCTATGTTTTCATATGAATTTTAGCATTGTTTTCTTTCCATCTGGGCAAAATGTTATTTGTCCTTTGGTTGGGATCCCATTGTGTCTCTAAATTGCTTATGGTAGAATGGGCAGATTTTTCCATTTTGTGTGTCTTCTTCCATTTCTTTAATGTTTATTAATTTTATTGTAGACATTTTCATGGATATGAAACTGGACACCGAGTTGACGCTGAAGTTCAGCTTCTGGGTAATCTTCCATTTCTGGATCCTGCTCATCTTCCTTGTAAAACCCGGCTGGGCCTTCGCCCTGGACAGGAGCAACTGGTTAGTAGACGGCTGCGTCCTGTAGATGGCAGCCTTTGGGCCAAGGGGGAGAGAAGGGAAGGAAGGACCTCTGTTCCCTGGAGTTGGGCTGGCAAGGCTGAGAGCAAGGTGGACTTCCAAGCCTTGGGAAGGAGGGTCAAGTGGGGAAGCCCTATAGAGATGTGGAGACAGAAATGTGGGGGCCTAGCATTCCTAGAATAGAGTGTTGGCCACAGAGACAGAGGTGAATAAGATGTTGGTGAATGTATTCCCTCGGGCGCTGCAGAGAATTAGGGGCCAAAGAACATGTAAGAAGGGAATTGGGTCTCCAGGCAGTGGGAGGGAGACCTGGGAGGAAAACTGCATGTGTTGACTCAGAGTACAAAAGATAAGAAGTCTGCTTTGGGAGACGTGGTAATAGTTGTTTTTTAGATTTTCAGGCTAAGGACGATGGGATTGCAAGTACTTCATGCAGTGGGAGTGGAGGGTTAGATGCCATGGGAAGAACCTGGTTCATGCAAGGTTTGGGGAGCTGAAAACAGGTTATTTGTATGTCACCATCCAGTGATAAAAGGGAAAAGAAGGATTGCATGGAGGAAGGCAGGTGACTTTGAGGAGAGTTGTAATAGGGAGGAGCTGGTAGATCTACTTGTAAGAACTAGTAGCATCAGAGTGTTAGATCCGGGACAGGGCCTGGGGAGAAACCTTAGTTAAAGTGAGGGAAAGGATATCAGGAGGTAGTCAGAGGGACCTTTCAGAAGGTACTGGGGAATGGCTGAGTTAATCAGGAAATTTGACCAAAGTGTCCCCACTACCAAGAGATGGAGAAGATCTTAGTTGAAATCAGATAAGTGTTGATAGGGGGCTTAGGTACATGGAGAACCTGACTTAGCCTGGGAATGAAGTTTGTGGCTTGTATTCAGTTTGTAGAAGTCAGAATTATAGCAGAGGACTTTCTCTTGGTAAACTTGCTTTTCTTGGGTTTCAAAGGAGTGTCTGTGATGTGCCCACATTTGTTCTAGTTACTTAAGGTAATGCAGAAGCATCATGTGGGTCCTTGAAAAGTTTGTGGAAAGAGGGATTTGTAAGGTTGTTTCACTCTGTGTGTGTGTGTGTGTGTGTATAGTATATTCTACCCATTCAACGATGATGTTAGAAGACTTCGTCAATTTCTTGTTTTTGCTGCCGTGAAGCATACTGCAATAAATATTGTGGTGGACGTATCTCTCTGATACAATACGTTCATGTGTTTTGGGTTATAGCCAGTAGAGGGATTGCTCCATATCGTATGGCAAGTCTGTCTGGTTTTTTAAGAAATCTCCATACCGTTTTCCACAGCATCTGCACTAATTTACATTTTTACCACCTATGGGTAAGTTTTTCCCCTTTTCCCACATCTTCCTCCTCATTGTGACTCTCCGTCCTTTGGGTTTTAGCCAGTATGTACGTGTGAGCTGATATCTCATTGTGGGTTGGATTTGCATCTCCCTGATAGCTTGTGATGTTGCGCATTTTTCCTGTATTCTTGGCCATCTGTATATCGATGGGGAACTGTCTGTTGAGCTCCTTTGGCTACTTCATAACTGGATTGGTTGGTTTTTTATTGTGTTTTTTAAAGTTGCAGATGTATTCCTGATATTAACCCTTTTCATATAGGTTGCTGACAAGTATCCTTTGGTCATTCTTGTGAATGTCTCTTCACTCTATGATGATTTCCTTCGCTTGCAAAACTTTAATTTCATTTGATCCTATTTGTTTGGTTTTGCTTTAGCTGCCTGGGCTTTGAGGGTCTTGTCTAAGAGTCATCCCCTATTCCAGTGTCTTGGAGCTTTCTTTGTATTTCCTTCAAAAAGCTTCACAGTCCTGGGTCATAGATTTAGGTCTCTGATCCATTTTGAGTTGATTTTCATATTTTGTTGGAGTTATGAATGTAATTTCAATCTTCGACACAAATACATCCATTTTTGGCAACACCACTTGTTGAAGAACTCCAATGGATGGTCTGAGACCTTTTGTAAAAATATGGTATTGAAGATATTTTGATTAATAGTGGAGCTCGCCTTGTTCTCTTCCATTGGTCTGTGTGTCACTTTTTATGCAAGTGCTATGATATTTTGTTTAGTGTCATTTGTAGAATGCTTTGAATCAGGTGTTGTGAGGTATCCAGGCTAAGTTTGTTTCACTTTTTGCTCAGAAACACCTTATCTATTCTGCATCTTCTGTGATTTTGTTTGAATTATAGGTTTGTGGTATATAATTCTGTAAAAAACGTCATTGGTGTTTTGATGAAAATTTAATTGAATCTTTAGGTAGCATTAGGCAAGGTAGAGATTTTAATTATACTGATTCTTCAAATCCACCAAAAGACATCTTTCCACTTTTGTGTCCTTGGTGATTTCGTTCATCAGTGTATGGTGATTTTCATTTAGAGCTCTTTGACTTCTTGGTTAAATTTTTTCCTAAACTTTTATTTGTGGTTATTGTCCTTGGGATACTTGTTGATTGCTCTGTCAGTGAGTTCATCATTAATGTATAACACTGCTGCTTACACACTATGTTTTCATAACCTGAAACTTCACTTAATTGTTTCACCAGTTCTAGCAGTGTTTTTGGTGGATTGTTTTAGTTTTTTTGGTACCATATCATGCCATCTGTAAGCTTTTAGAATTTCACTTTCTCTTTTATAATCTAGGTGCTGTTTATTTCTTTCTTCTTTCTTTCTCTTGTGAAAATTTACTGTACTGCATTCAGTAAGAATTTTAAAAGGGGATATCCTTGTGTTGTTACATGTTTGACCAAAATGCTTTCACTTTTTGCCCATCCAGCATGACATTGGCTGTTGAGCTGTGATACATAGCCTTTAAGATTTTGATGCCTATTCCTTTTATACCTACTTTGTGGAAGTTTTTTTTTTTTATCATGAATGGGATTGGATCTTTCAGGTTATATCTCTATCTAATGAGATAATAATGTGGGTTTTTTAATAAAAATTTATTTCATTTATTTCTAAGAATTCGAGAGAAAGCAGGCATGTGTTTCACTTGGCTAATCCTCCACCTGTAATGCCGGCATCCCATATGGGCACCAGGTTCTATTCCCAGCTGCTCTCTTCCAGTCCAGCTCTCTGCTGTGGCCCAGGAGGGCATTGAAGGATGGCCCAAGTGCTTGGGCACCTGCACCCGCATGGGAGAACAGGAGGTGGCAGCTGGCTCCTGGCTTTGGATTGGCGTAGCACTGCCATAGTGGCCATTTGGGAGGTGAACCAACAGAAGGAAAACCTTTGTCTCTGTCTCTCCCTCTCACTGTCTAACTCTGCCTGTCAAAAAAAATCAATAAAATAAAAAAAGAATTAGAGAGAAACAGAACAAGTGCAGGTGAACGAGATTGAGAGTATGAGAGTGAGAGAGGTCTTCCATTTGCCAGTACACTCCTGGAATGACCGTGATGGCCAAACTGAGCCAATATGAAGTCAGGATCCAGGACCTTCTTCTGGGTCTCCTATGTGGCTGCAGGGGCCCAAGGAATTGGGACATCCCCACCACTTCCCCAGGCACATTAGGAGGGAGCTGGATTGGAAGTTGGGCAGCCAGAACACACACTGGCACGACATGGAAAGACAGCACTGCATGCCATGGCTTTAACGTGCTGTAACACAGCACCAGGCCTGCTTGTCTGACTCCGGGCAGCAGCCCTGGCCACCGACTAGGCCAAGGATGCTGGGCAGGTATCCTCCATTCAGTACCCTGACCACGGGTAGTTTGTCAGAGCGCTACACCAACGGGACTGTCTGGGTGTCAGCCCAGAGGTCTAGAGAGCTCCATACTGCCCTGAGATTCTGGTGGGCTAGATGGGAATCGATGATGTCCATGGAGCATTTCTGATTGTGATAAGCACAGGGCCACAGTGCCATTTAGAGCTAAGGCTGCTTCCCCTGATTCATCAAGGTAGCTTGGCCTCCTCCACTGACACTGTGTTTCCTGGGAGGAAGGGGGAGGTGTTAGTTGGCTGGCACTTGCGTATTTAAGCTAACAGGACAGAGATGCCCAGGGGCTGCCTCAAAGGAGACGGGATCCCGTGACTTCCAGCAGCGTTCTCCCCCGAAATCCACAGGTTCGGAGTCAGTGGGGTGGGCAGCGGCTCAGCCATGAAGAAGCCGAGAAGCGATGTCTGCCTCCCCTCCTCCTCCAGAAGATCTGGATGTGAAACTAACCCAGAGTGGACGCTGAAGCTCAGCTGCCAAGTAATCTCCCATTCCCGGAGAGACTGCACAGCTTCCTGCTCAATGCCAGCTGGGCCTTCATCCTGGAGAGGAGCAACTGGTGAGTAGATGTGGCTGCCCCAGTAGTGCCATGTCTGGATGCACAAGGGGAAGGGAAGGGAAAGCCCGTTCCCTGGGGTTGGGCGGCCCAGGCTGACAGTGATGTGCCCTTACCCCGTGGCAAGGAGGGTCATGTGGGGCAGCCCCACAGGCATGGGGAGAAATGTAGGGGCCTGGTGGGCTTCAGTAGATTTGGAGAGCATGGAGACAGGGGTGGATAGGATGTTGGGGAATGAGTTCCCCAGGGCTCTGTAGAGAATTAGGGGCCAAAGAACATGGTAATAGGGAAAGACTTGGGTATCCAGGAAATGGGAGGGAGACTGGAGGAAAAGTGTGTGCTGTCGAGTCAGAGTACAAAACCCAAGAAGTCTGGTTTGGAGAGACGTGTTAATAAAAGTTTGGGTTTTAGATTTCGGGCCTAAGAATGACGGGATGGAGGTATTTAGTGTGGTGTGAGTGGAGGGTTAGATTTCATGGAAGAACCTGGGGCATGCAAGGAGTTGGGAGCTGAAATCAGGTAATTTCTGTATATTGCCACTCTGTGATATAGACAGGGAAATGGAAGGAGTGTATGGAGGAGGTCCGGTGACTTTCAGTAGAGTTGTAATAGGGAGGAGCTTGTAGGTCTACTGGTAGGACTGGTGGAGTCTCCGAGTGTTAGACCTGGGACAGCATCTGGGCAAAAACCTTAGGAAATGTGAGGGTAAGAAAATGGTGATGGGTGTGGTGTGGTCTTTCTTAGGGACTGTGGTATGGGTGCATGGTCAATCAGGAAACTTTGACAAAGGTCTCTGGAATACCAGGGATGGGAGAGGATTATCTGGAGAAAACTGGATTGGTGTTGT